GGGGGGTGGGTGCGTGCGCCAGGAGGAGGGGGTACACGCCGGGAGCACGGGGGGTGGGTGCGTGCGCCAGGAGGAGGGGGGTGCGCGCCGGCAGCACGGGGGGTGGGTGCGTGCGCCAGGAGGGGGGTGCGCGCCGGGAGCACGGCGGGGGGTGCGTGCGCCAGGAGGAGGGGGGTGCACGCCGGGAGCACCGGGGGGGGGGCGGTGCGCCCCGGGAGCGCGGTCGGCTCGCAAGCTACGCGTCGCGGGCGGATGCGCGGGGCAAGCGAGCCGGCTGCTGCTGTGGGGCCCCGCGGCGGCCCATGGAGAGGGGCACTGTCATTTCACACCAGCTCTCCCAGCTCTGGAGCTGGCATCGGAAGCCAACGGTAAGATCCCCAGGCGCGCTCCTGTCCTAACTCTTGCTTCCCCATCCTTCCCTTCGGTCCGGAACTCTGAGGAAACACCACCCCTCCTTGGGCGCTGCAAGCCAGGCGGAGGTGGCAGAGGGCCGTAGGCATCCGCATGCCTGGGGAGCAGGGCTCACTCCACCTTTCCACCAGCCTGCAGGACACATGAGCCCTAAGCTTCTAAATTCAACTTTCGAAACTTTGGGAAACTTCAAAACTCCTTCGCTCCCAGTCTGCGTGCTTGGCCTGAGGTTTTAAAGGAAGAGCAGGGAGAACGGCTGGGAGGAGCACTTCAAGCTCTCTGCCCTCTGAGAGATCTTGTCCCCGGGGGGCCTGTGTTCTAGAGAAGCCGACCAGTAAAGGGCGGGGCAGAAAGTTGTGAGCATCTCCTCGGCCCTGCAGCCGCAGCTGTGACACCTCTGAGTCCCCGGGGAAGAGCAGCTTGCCTCTGCCTCTTGACTTCTTGCACGAAGGCAATTTACTGCAGCTAGATAAATGCTCTCCTGGAGAAAAATGGCCTCCTGGAAGGAGCCAAGGTGACCACAGGCAATTTCTCTTTAAGGAGCAAAGGGCTCTCTACTCAGTGTGAGAAACAGAGCTGCTCTGTTGTGGCAGGGGGAAAATCACAGTCAGTGGCAGACATGGCCCTGCTGGCAGCAGCGGGTTGGGGGGGGGAGCTCTGTGGTTCCAGACCTTCCTGGGGCCGTGGCCCTGGCCCTCAAGGGAGCTTCTAAGGCCTGATGAGCTTTAGGAGAAACTTGGTGCTAATGTAGCTTGAAGCCTGGACGCCTCTCCAGCAGTTCCAGGGACAACAGGGGTAAGAAGCCAAACAGAAGAAGGGGCCCTGCCTCTGTTGTAAATGAATTTTCTCTGTTGACCACATCACCTGGAAAGATGGGAGCTGGGGATCACTGACTTTGTGACAGAAGCAGCAGCTGGTGTTGGTGCAGCAGGTGGTACTCCTGCCCCCGAGGGGGAGGAGCAGGAATCCACTTTCCTGTGGTCTGGAGGGCAATCCTACACAACCAACAACTTTCCTCCCCAAATGTCCTCATGCCCAGGTGAGATGTTCCTGGGGCCCCCATGGGTCTGACCATTTGACCACATTCCTTTTACTGGTCTCTCATACTAAGCTGTCCTCAAACTACACCAGCAGGTCCGTGCCTCAGGGCCTTTGCACTTGCTCTTTCCGCTCTCTCAGTTGATACAGGTCTCTCCTCAAATGTCACCTCCTCAGAGAAGGCTTTGTCGATTACCCCACCTGACATAGCTCCTATCCCAGTGTTATTTTTCCTTATAAAACTCCTATCTAGTTTTATATTAAGTATACTTACCTGTTTTATTTTCTGTCTCCCTATAAGCCTCACGATGAATACTTTGGCTATTTATTCAGCCTTGTAGCCCTAAAAGAGTGCTTGGCACATAGTAGGTGCTCACTAAATACTTGTTTCATGTATGATTAATGAGACCGATTCAGGTTCTGAGAAAGAGAGAATCTGGCCCACCCAGGGGCAGCCCAGGTCACCCAGAGAGACATCAGGGGAGGCACCCTTACATCCTCAGACTCAAATACGTGGCAGATCATCTTGTACTGCCTTTTTCCATCCTGGGATGGGTGGGAGGCTTCCACGTTCTCCTGGGAGTTGGAGCGGGGCATCCGCCTGCGGGCCATCAGCACGACGATGTTCCCGATGTCTGCTATATAGGAAATGGTCCTCAGAGGGTGGTCCATCATCGTCTCCTGAAGGGCGCAAGGGAGAGGATGCTAAGTCCCGCGCAGCATCTGACGGCCCATGAGAGAGTCTGCCACCCCACCGCCCAATCACGTGCGGTCCACACGTGGACCATGGGTGGCCTTACACGCACCCACTCAGGCCTGGGGGCAGGTCCCTCGGCTAATAATAAGCCAGAGCAGGAAGTGTCTGCGGCACATGGGGAAAAAATTTCAGTCATTTTATAACCAGTAGAATCTCTAGCGGAGAAGTTAAAAAAATAAAGTAAAACGATGCATGTGTGATGGCTGTACATGTGTGATTTTAAACGCAATTTCTTAAAAGGCTAATCTGTTCAAGTTAATCAATCTTCTCATAAAAACGTACGAGATTATTAGCAAACAACATCCACGGTGTATTTGTTCCTCTGATCTTTAAGGGAACAGTCCCAAGAGCAGCCCCCACCCCCGCCCCGCCCCCAGCAGCAGGGACGGCAGACATAATTTTCCAGCATGTTTGGACGCCGGCGGCTGAGAACAGCGGCTCTAGGGACATGGGCACAGACTCTGAGCTGCCATGGTGGGCTGGGCATGTCACCCCTGGGACAGGGAGCAGGCCAGCTAATACCTGTGTATCGGCATTCAGTACTTTGATTCTCTGAGTAGAAATGAAGAGATCCACCTCGGTCATTGGCTGAGATTCACCTTCAGGAGCCTAAGAAGAAAAATGCACAGCAAGGGAAAGCTTAACACCTTACCCTGACTCAAGTACACAGCAGCAAGGACAGCTCACACACACAGGCACTGAGACGCAGTCACCAGAACGGCAGCACGGACTCCAGATTTAGACTGTCAAAGCTGAAAGGACCACAGAGGATGGACTCATGGATGAGCATTAGCACTGCCAGGTCATAGGAAAAATGCCAAATCCCCTCTGCGTCTCCCCCTACGGAAGCAGTAACTCATTGCCGATTTGACTCTATGAGCAATGACTGTGAATGCCCTTTTGGAAAGGCTTTTGGAGCCCAACAGGTTGAAGAATAAGGGCAACTGACCTATAACCCAAGACCTTGGAAGAGTCACTTAGAGTCTGCCCCTGGCCAAGTGATGGGGGACGACGTTTGTCGCAGGTGCAAACGAAGTCATTTGGATGCGGTTCTGGTAAGAGAGTCTTCATGTTCATACACCACCACAGCAACACAGAAGCAGTCCCCACTCCTGAAGCCACCCCATTAAGAAGAAACCCCAAATGCCTCAACACCCCATGGGCAGCCCATAAGCACCTAGAAGCTCCATAACCAAAAAAGCGCCTCCGTCTGGTTCATTTAGGGTTTAACTCCGCACAGGGTGGTTATTAGCAAGTTTTCTTTTTTGCATCCAGCAATCTGACAGAATCCACAAGTCAAACATGACTATAATTGAACAGACCCAAGTCCCTGCTGCATTAATGCTCCTCAATGGTGGGAACTTTCACGCTACCGCAGGATTCATTTAGCATCTCCAATCTGCTCCCTGTTGTTTCTCTAATGTGAAATGACTAATGAGCAACAGAAAACAGCCACTTTAGGCAACTAAGTTTTGAGAAACGTTGGCTAATGGGGCGGTTCAAAAAGAAATCTGAACAAAAACTTGCTGGATGCAGAAAACAAAAACACAAAATAATAAAAAGGCAAAACATAAATAAACGAAAAGAACAGGCATAACACCAAGCTGATGAAGTTGTTCGTACTGCACCTTCTTTCTGCTTTTGGCTAATTTCTGGGCCATCTGCTTAGCATGGAACAAACAGAGACAGGAGAAGAGTTAGAAAAGAATTCGCAGAGACTCAAAGTCGAAAAGGGAATCGACAAACTAATATTAAGAGTGGCATAAAGCATTTCTGCTTGAGGACAGACCTTAAAAAAAAATCCTACTCTACAATTTCCTAACTCAAAATTTAGTAGGTGGCAGGGGCCACAGTAAGAAGGAAATGTTAACAGCAATGGATGCTTTCAAAGAACCAACTTGGTTCTGTTGATTTTCTTGTATGCCTGTTTGCTATTTCATTGATTTCCATCTACATTTTAATTTCCTTCTAGTTTCTTTGGGTTAAATTTGATTTTTTTTTCTAGCTTCCTGATATGAAAATTTAAATTACAGATTTTTAAACTTTTTTTCCCTGAAGTATTTATTTAAAGCTGTGAATCTCCAAGTACCACATTAGCTGTATCCCACAAATTTTGATATGTTGCAATTATTGCTTCAAAATGTCTAATTTCCTGTGATTTCTCCTTTCAACTTTGGATTTAGAACTGTGTTATTAATTTTATTACATTGGGGGATTTTCCAGTTATCTTTCTGTTACTGATTTCTGGATTAATCCCACTGTGGTCAGAGAACATAACCCTGATTCCAAACCTTCTGAACTTAGCCCTATGGCTCAGAACATGACAGACTGTGGTGACTGTCTGGTGGACTTCAAAAGATGCTTTCTTTAGTTGTTGGGAACAGTGTTCTATCAATTGTCAACAAGGTCAATTATGTTGGTTAAGGGTACTATTCAAATCTTCTATGTACTTGATTTTTTTGCCTGCTTGTTCTAAAATTTACTAAGAGGGGTGTGTTAAAATCTCCAACGGTTGCTGTGGGTTTGTCTGTGTCTCCTTTTGGCTGTGGCCAAAGACTGTGGAGTCTTTATCTATTTTATATCTATGTTATAAGGTACATAAGTACTTAAGGTGCTTATGTCTCCCTGTCGAATTGATCTTTTTATTTTTCTTCTTTAGTAATACTTGCTTTAAATTTGTGTAATGTTAATATGGCCTATTCCTAATTAGAAACAGATGTAATATTTCCCCCTTTGCTCATAAGTAGAAGCTAACATAGCTGATTTAAAAAAGAGAGAGAGAGAGAAAGAAAGAGAGAGAGAGAGAGAGAGAGAGAGAGAGAGAGAGAGAGAGACTGCAGTCGACTGTCTAAAACAGTCCTGGCTCTGTCACCCACTAACTGTGTGACTTGGCGCAAGCTGCTCAATGCCTCAGTTTCCTCATCTGTAAAATGAGGATAAATACAGGGCTCTTTTCAGGATAAAATAAATATATGCAAAGCTCTTAGAACAGTGCCTGGTGCATTATGAACATGACATTTGTCTTTATTGTTACAGGATTATAATTTACTTAAGTCAGAATACAGTTTCTTGACTTATGGTAAGGCTTGCTAGACACACACAGATCTTGTACGAATAATGGTGAGTCAATGGCCAAACCACGAACACTGTTGTAGTGATGGGGGTGGGTGGAAGATCGTCTGCTCTCTCACACTCCTTGGTACTCACCTGTGGAAAAGCCCTTTTGCTCCCAGTAGCACACCTCTATTTCATTAATGAGTCAAATGTGTTGTCTGTTCTACCTCACTGTGGAGAAACTGGATGAGTCAGCGATCCAAACATCACATACTTAATCTCTGGTATAGCCAGGAAACTAGGGCAGCCCTGCTCCCACACAGCCACCCCAGAGCTCTTAGGTGGTCATGAATCCATGGTAAACAGTCTGCTCTGGAAAGGTCAGAAGGCAGCAAGTGCAAGGGGTATCCTAACTGCTGCGTGTGATGGTGGAAATGTGTCTGCGTCTCAAGAGTGGTCCCATGCCGACACTACACCACACCACGCAGATTCCTCTGTGGAATCCAAGAGTCCTGCTGGGGGTTGTTCTCATCTGCATCAGCTCTAGTCCTCATGATAAATGACTGCTGTAAGATCCTACCGTGTGTGTGTGTGTTTTCTACCACCTCCCCTGAAATTACCTGCCAGGAATGTAATAACTTCTACTATTTTTGATACCCAAACCTACCAGCTATTGGTCAAAATTCTTCACTCTAAGGAACAGGGATCTGGAAGGGTCCTCTCAAAGGAAAATAAGTCCACTACAAAGGAATGACCAAATTCTCTTCTTTTACTGGAATGGGTGATGAGGAAAGAATTCAAAGGACAAACTGAGTTTCATGAAGGGCATTCTGAAGTAATTTCTACGGATTTAAAAGTATTTTACGCATTTAAAGGACTACCATCTTTTCAACTACACAGGATATTCAGGTGCCCTGAAACAAATTATAATTTAAAATTTACACATGACATTGGTAGGGAGTCAGATCCGGAATGAGAAATTGTGGTAGCAGAGAAGCCCAGGAGAAACATAAGGCCAGCATGTGTCATAAGGCAAGGAATGACACCATCCATTTAAGTCCTTGTGTTTCATCGGATTGATTAGGGCTTGCCCCCCAGGAAGCTGCCGTGCAAAGGACACAGACTGTGGCACTGTTGTCCACCCACTCACTCTGCAATGTGTACTGAGCCTTTACTGTTAATCCTCTCTAGGTTTGTCATGGGAGGGAACTTCCTGACGATTCTAGCTTTCCTTTCCCCAGCTGACATTTACTGAGCCCTTGCTCTGAGCCAGTATCCTTCTAAGTTGGTCACCTGTAGAGCAATGCGAAAGCTTACAGTAACCCTGTGCGGGAGGCACTACAGTATTCTCCTCTTGCAGAAGTGGAAACTGAGGCAGAGAGAGACTAATTAACTTACTCAAGGCCACACAGCTGTTAAGAGGCAGAAGAGAGATTCAAATTCTGGAAGTCTCACTCCAAACCAGTAGTTGGGCAACTTAGGCAAGTTTCTCATCTATAAACTTCTCAGTTTGTCTGTAAATAGGGTTAATAATACCTACCTCACATGATTCCTCACCCCCTCCATTTTGAGGAGTAAATGAGTTCATGAAGTTCACATGAAGAACCTGCTGTGTTAACATCCTCTTTACTAACCAGACTTCTTCGAGTCAGATGGAAAATCATGTGGCTTACACAAAACTTCAATGATAGAGATTTTAATTTTACAATTAAGTCCTGATTTTTGACATTTTCAAGAAAACCTTTCCATAAAAGAGAAAAATCTGATCTTTTAGGACAAGCTAGTAAAGACAAATATGAGAATGTCTGATAATGAATGTTCCTTACACAAATGCATAGACCAAAAAACATCCAACACCATTTGTGAGCTCATCACACGAGCTTCACAAATGTGGGAGGAATGGAGACACATACACCACACTCCGCGTGGACACGAAGCAGTTTCCGTGGCTCAGTTGGGGCTCAGCGGGTGAGCCTGTCTTCTGGCCGAAGAGCAGAAAATGCAGTGGGCGTGAGGGTGGAATGGAGCCTGGGGAACGTAGTGAAGAGAAAGGAAGACAAGGGATCTAGCTGCCCTGGCTTCAGGTTTGGCTCTCTAGATAGGGTTAAGGCAGGGTTCCCACGCTGCAGAAGGAATGGGGTGCTTCTACCTACGGTGCTGCAGATACTGCCATCAGGTAGGGCAGAAGTTTCTCTCAAAACGTGCTCCTGAGAATCTTACCATAAGACTCTAGGAGGTATCCCACAGTGGTAATGTATTCCATGTTCACAAAATGATGGGGGTTTCTGGTTAAACCAAGTGAATTAGATCTCCTTAGTACAGACTTCTCATAATCTTTAATAGGAAAACATACATGGCAAATATCCAAAAAAGAGAGAGATTCTGCAGTGTTTCTTGAGCTAATGGGCCAACAGAACCTTGTCAGTGGGAAGCATTCAGCTTGACTGGGATGCCCCAGGGCAGTCGGAGAGAAGATACCTCATAAGCCTGGGATGGTCCACCCTTCCCCAAATTGTATTGCACATGAGAACCTCCTGGAGGGCTTATGAAAACACAGATTCCTCGGCCCTCACCCTGCCATGAGTTTCTGACTGGGGTGGGCCTGAGAATCTGCATTTCTAGCAAGTTCCCTGGTGGTGTTGATGCTGCTGGTGAAGGGGTCCCATTTTGAGAAGCACCTCTTGAATGCATTCCTTAGTTGGATGGGGGCTTCCTAAAAGGATATTATTTCTTCTCAGAAATGATGAACAACAAAGGCAGAAAGGGTACATGAGGGAGGGTCCAAAGATGAAAAAAAAAAAAACTTAAAAAAATGGCAGATGTCTTCTAATTCTGTTATTGCATTTAGATCCACCTTATTTATATTTTTATATATGGAAAAAAACTTTTAACTTCAGATTCCTCAGCCTGCCTTTTGTTATTGTTACTTAAACACTCTTCTTGGCTCCCTTCCAGGCTGCACGTTTCTCAAGGTCAAGGACTGGTTCTTGGGTGTTTTTTTTTATTTCCTGAGATGCCTATCACAAGGGTCTGCAGAGGAACACTTTGCTTTCAGAACCAAATTCCCTTGTTTTCTTCTCACATTAAGTAGAAAATTTCTGGCCAAACCCCAACTCCAAATTCTCTCCCCATTTGGCAAATAAACCCATAAATCTTTTAAATTAAGAAAATATTAATTCATCAAACTCCAAGTGTACATCCAATAAGCACCCCAATCGACCAATGGAAGAGAAATTAAAGACGGTTTTGAAAGCCAGGCTTCAGGTGTGGTGTTTGCTCAGAGATAAAGCAGCACAAACGGCTATGTCTACACGGGACTCCAGGTGAGGAAGGGCTCAGCCGCATCCACCGGGTCAAACAAACCATGTAGGCCGAGGTAAGAAAGAGGGGTCAGACGGGAACCCAGCGGGGAACTGGGGAAGGAGGAGGAATCAGAAACAGCGGAACACCCTTCTGTCTTCGTTCAGATCAGAGTACAAAGGCGGAAATTACTAATCAGTTTGGGCTGAGGATATTGCTAAACAGATTTCCAAATCAATCCAACAAGCTTTTCTTCTTCCCTTCCCTCCTGGACAGACACTGTAAAATCTGTAGCTTCCTTCCTCTCTGCATCTTTAGAGAGGTGGCCTAGAAGAACTCATTCCTGAAAGGTCAGCCTCTCTTTAGGAAAAAAGCGTGGCACCACCTCCCTTAAAGAAAGGGGTCTCCCAGGCACGTGCGGGCACCACAGCGCATGCGCCGGGGAGACCATCCCGAACGATGGGGATACATGCTCCAGGCCCCCCTGGCGCCCTCTGCAGGACGTGAAATGTCGGTGCACATCCCGACACTGACTTTCTAGGGGGTGCAGAAAATAAACCGTGGGTCTGAGCACAGACTCCACCTAGAGTTTGAAATTGAAAAAGCGTCAGGCTGTGTGTAAAGTCAAGCAATCTGACGGGCCTTTAAATGGATGGAAAATGAACAGGAGGCAGGAAATATCTGATGACAGGCAGCAGTTCCTTCAGATGCACAGGAGCACGTTGCAAAATGATACTTACAAATGAAATGCAACCTGTTTAACTTTACCACTCTATAATGAATTCCTCACACTACCATAATTTGCTGTAAAAATAAATCTATGTTTTCCAGATGCCTACTCTGCTCTGTGCAGGTCTAAAATGGATTAATCTGACAGCCTCATCTTGCTTGTTCTGACCAACACCACCATCTAACTTTTTTGTTCAGATCAACTCTGGATCCCCATCCTCTGAAGCTTCAAAGTAAACTTTCTGGTTTCCCATCAGGGAAGCTGGGCTTTAGGAAGGGAAAAGCGTGCTTTCAGTCCTCACTGTGGAACTGAGAAGCTGTAATTCACATCACACTTGGTCCTGGGTGGGTTCTGGTGCTGGGTGGCGGAGCCTACCCCGAGCATGGCTTTCTGTTCCAGGGATGTGCCTGATTCCTTCCTTGGGGTCACACGGTACCAGATACATGTCACAGAGCAGTGGAAAGACAAACTATCCGTGGGAGTCAAGGGCTACCACAAGGTGCCCAGAATGAAACCCGGACCTGAACACATTTGAAACCCTGATGGACAGAAGCTAGGAGAACTCATCTCAAAGCCTCGGAGGGCTTTGGCGCTCCTTTGGGGGCGGACTGCTGCTTTGTGCTGGGGGAGTCACCTGAATGGGCTCCGGCAATGTTTCCTGACAGGGGCAGAGGGGTGCTCTGGCCTTCTGTGGGAGTTAAATCTGCATCCTGTGCCCCAGCCTGGACATTACAGGGTATTAAGCATTTCTGGTTCTGGCCCACTACTGCCAGTAAAAATACTCCCCAGACACTGTGGCACCCCAAAGTGCCCCCACCTGTTTCCTAAAGCCCCTTCTGGAGGTGGTGGCCCCCATCTGTCAGAAAACCACTCAGTGAGGCATGCCAGGCCCTTGCACTCCTGCTGATCCTGGGGAAGTGAGCAGCACCATTAGCCTGTGTCCAGAGGTGAAGCTGCTTCATAGCGTTGCTGCCTCGGCATCCATTTTGTTTGGTCAAGCGGCGGCCTGCAGTAACCTTACACGGACACTAGCCCCTCAGGCAAGTGCATGCCCTGGATAACACCCCACCGAGTCACAGGCAAATGTAAGCTCTTGATATAAATTCCCGACAGCCCTTGTAATAAACAGTCCTCCTCACCTCCAGGGCCTTCCCCTTGTGCTCCCCTTAGATAAGACCCCCGTGGAGCTTGCCAAAACCTTGCTCTTTTTGGTATGAATTGGCCAATTCAAACCCAGGAACCACAAAGTATTCCACTTACAGACCCTCATAAAGGCATGTACCCCAAGTTCTGTCTCACCTTCTGCCTGCACTCACTTGGCCTTGACCCCCAGCCTGCGGCCCCCTTGAAGCATGCTGGCTCCTTCCTGAGGACCTGTGAGTAACAAACGTTTCTATTTCCATTTCCCTTGTGCTCTTTGGCTCAACCATCGGGCACCACGGGGCTCTGCTAAACAAATATTAACTTAACAAAATCCTAACGTGCTCTGTTTGATAACTGTGGGACATCAGGAGTCAGAATTATGTCCCTACAGACTTTGTTTTTTAAAAGTTATTCGCCTGAAAAGGACAGTGCCTGAAAAGTAGCTTGCTGTCTCATACAGATCTGTGTGTTCTTGTTTTGAATGCTGCACCTGGGACATCCTCAATTCAGGAAGACTTTGGGGAGATCTAGAGGTATTCATGCCACCTCTTTAGGATAAGGGGAGACTGTTAGAAGGAATTAGGCCAAGACTGGATGGGCAGCTCAACAGGAACCTGATGTTCCACTGGTAACATTAACGAGTCTGAAAGACCCAGAAGGTATGAAGGTCAGTTGGATACGCTAGCATGGGGTGGTCCTGCTGGGAGGCACACATCTCTGTGGGTAGGGGTGGGCCTTCCCTCGAGAGAAGTGGACCTTCCCACCGTCAGTCATGCTGGCAGAGGCTAATTTTGGGAGAAGATACGGCCTCCGCAGCAGTGGGCCGTGTGGCCGGAGGGTCTCTGAGGCACAGATGAGGTTCACAGATTCTGGATGAAGTGGTGGAGTGGGTCCTGGACACCCCGAAGAAGCGGGCGGGCTCCCGTAAGCAATCATGACATTGGCCTGTTGTGCAGTTGTGAGCTGCTCTCTGGTTTAGACATCCTCTTTCCCGAAACGGCCGCGGCAGGAGCAGCATAGGACGCTGCAGCGTGGCCTTGCCGTGCTACAGACAGCTCGGGGGAGAACTGGTGCTGAGTTCAGGAGAGAAGTGCCTCTTCCAGGAGCCAGCGACTCGTGGCCCTGGAAGCCACGGACGGCAGTTCAATGAGGACGCAATGACAGGGGACCGGGGACACTCCGACAGCACCCGGGGACCTGCACCACGAGCGGGCAGCAGGGGGCTCGGTCCTCACAGTGAGGGCCTCTTGCTTCCATTCCCAGCACGTGAATAACACGGGAGTCAGTGTGGGCAAAAGGGCGAGAAACCCCGCCTCTGCGCTACATGACCTCTGTGCCTCTTTGCTCCCTGGTCCCGTCAGTCTGCCCGCGGGGGGGGCCCCGCACTCCTGGGCACCCACCATATCATCCCCTTCCCCCCTTCCCTCCTGCTCGGGTCCACCCTGCACATTCGCTGGCTTGATGCGTTTCTGCTGGTGCTGCGGAGCGGAGGGGAAGGATCTATTTCCCCTCCCTCCCGAGACGGTGAACAGCCTTGCACACTCGAGTAAGTGCTCAAGAAATACTTTTTCCCGGATGAAGGACCCTAAGTTACCGCCTTACACTTGTGCTTCTTCCTCTTTGCACACGGCCACACAAATACCAGGAGGGGACTGGGGAATGTGTGCACAAGACCGTAGGGAAGGGGGAATGGCTCCCTGAGGACGAATGGGATTTTGACCAGCTGAAGCTGGATACAACCAAGCCTGGTGAGTCCTAACCTGTTCCAACTTGCCTGAAATACCTGGTTCTGGGTTTTTTGGTGGTGCTGTGACCCCAGCCTGGCTGCCCAGTGGTTCCAAGTGCTGGTGGCATTTTAATGGCAGGGGACGTGTCCCTGGAGCCCTGCGTCCGTCCAGGATTCCAGGTGGTCCTGGCATTGTGGTGGAGATTCTAGAGCTCTGCATTTCCATGGGGTCAAGCTAGCTCTGGCTGGCTCAAGCTAGCAGTGAATGGTTTAAACCAGATGAAAGCAATTCTTGGATCAAACAGGCTTGCTCCTTTTTAAATCACGATAAAACAGATTCCAACAGGTTATGACTGGCTCAAACTAGTTTGAACTGTGGTAGCCTGGCACTGACTCATTCTGGTTAGATTTGATCCAGCGGTTCGTGGTGCCTGAAGCAAACCAGTTCAGTCTGGCTTGAGTGGGACCAGCTGGTTGAAAAGCATGAGACCGAGTCTGACCCATGTGGTCCCATGAGGGTTCAAGTCACTGATCACTATGTCCATGGAAATACAGGGATAAAGCTCTCACACTGGAGATGTAATGCTCGAAATGACATCCTTCCTCATTATATCAGCTTTCCAAAGCTTATGTTCATATGTGCTTTTTCTCAACACCGGCCATTAGGAACACCCCAAACATACAGTATTGATACATAAGGACTCTGGCACACTTTTTTTCTGTTTAGAACTGTTGGCAGGTGCACAGTCCCAATCCATGCTCCCCTAAACTCGGCACTGGATGCATGAGGTATGGGGAGACCAGTGTGGACGGCTCAGGCCCCTGCATCCGCCCCTCGCACCCCTCACCTTGATCCTGCTCACGGCTTCCTGGGCCTGCATCATGCGCACGTTTTTGGAGGGGGTTTTGTCCGACAGCAGCTGGGTGGAACCAAGGTAATTGGCAGCAAAAATGATCCCATCGATCAAGTCCTCGGGGTCACAGGGTCCAGGAACTGTAACACACAGAGCCACAGCAGTGAGTGAAGCCACCCTGGGGTGTGTCCCTAACAGAGCCCCCCGACTGTGCAGCCCCTTCCCCTCCCCCTGCCGGACACCCTGCCAAGTCTGAGGCGTCTCCCCGCGTCTGCCTTCACTCACCCCTTGTTTTCAAAGGGAAGGAACAATTTCCTCTTAATCCACGTCGCCCAGGCCATTTACTGTGAGAAATGATGTGTTTATTTAAATATGAAACATGAAATCAGTGACAAGGGGATGTTGTTTCTCCTGTTAAGACTGTGAGCTCTTGGGGGACAAAGACCACGTCATGTTCCTCTTTGGCACTCGTGTCTAATCCATGTCTGTCACCCAGTGGGTGTCAAATAAATGGGTGCCAGACATGTGGCTAGGGGAACAGCGAGGCTGCTTTATTAGAAAACCCCATATGATAACAGTTCCTTCGCCTGCCATCATCCGCCTCTCTCTCTTCCCATTTTAGCCATAACGGGGAAAACAAACTTTATAAATCAGGAAAAGGGGTATTTTCCTCAGAATGTCTGGATTCCCATAATGGCCTCTGACCCCAATTCTGCGAGGCAGATGACATTACCCCAGAGCCGGAGTCTCTTGCTGCCGACCTTGTGGACTTACAGGCTCTCAAGTTCCCGGCTGGCATCCACACACAGATCAATTCCAAGGAATTTTCTGTTCTCACTGACTGGCCTTTTGAAATCAAACCTTAGGTTTAAAATATTTAAAGTGGGGGCATCTGATTCTAACTGTAATCATCTGTAAACCCTACTTGAAATTAAAACATGTCTAGGACTAATACATAACTTTATAACAGATGCACCAAGAAAGGCTTTTAATTCTACAATGAAAACATATGTATTTTCTTTGGCTTGAATGCCATATTTGGGGAAATTAAAATATACGTTTTAACCTACTGTTCAAACCTCAGGCTCTTAAATTAGATAACTGGAAATGGAAACAATTTGCTTTTTCCTTTTGGAAAGCTAATCTGAAATGATTTTTATTTTTATCCCCCAACATCGAGCTCATCTTGAGCTTAACCAGCTGCTTCCTGTGATAAGCTACTTATGAGGGTACAATCTTAAAATAATCTGATCATTTCTCTAAAGGCAAGGTGGTGGTTGAAACAAAGAAATTAACAGCGTTTTAAGAAAGGTCTTCACAAAGCATCTGTGTAGCAAATAAATAAAGGAAACCTATTATTTGCCTTTTTCTAGGTCTTTCCGAGAAAGGCTTCTGGACAGTGAGAGGTAGGCAGCCAACCTGCCTCCACTATGGGCTAGTTATTCACCTTCTCAAGTCACATGCTCCCCGCCCTGAAACTTTCCTAGATGTGAGAAGGATTCAGGGTATTTCCAACAGACAGTTTTAGTTGTAGAGCAGGGAAATGCTTCTAGCCAAAATAATACATGGGCCGGTTTGCACCCACATTATACTTTGTAAAAAGTGAAAGATTATCAGCCTCCTATCATAAATTCATGTGATGGGTTTAAGTGTTATTTAAACATACCATTTTTGCCCAACCAGGCATTGAGAAAAAAGATCTCGTCTGGGATAGTAACTTTTAAAAACCTTCCATTTGTTTTGTGAAAATAATGCATGTTCAAAGAAAAATAAGAATTAATGACATACTTCTCTATGGGACTTCCAGTACTGTATATTCATCTCTGAGTTGGCTCTATCCCCTGAAAGTTTCTCTCAACCATAATAAGTGTGGACATGCACAGAGGTGTAAGAGCAATCCAAATAATATTTACATGATTTGTATAAATGTCAACCAGCCGAGAGACAGAAATATTGGACCTAAAGACACTGTACATTTGAGCTACAATTTTATGCCATTTATCCTCTGGGGAAACTGATCATAATCAAACATCACTGCCACCAGATCACACCTGGGGAAAAAATAAAAGCCCTAAGCCCATAACTTCATTTTGGTGTATTTTTTAAAAGTTAAAAAATTAAACATTATAATGGCCCTAAGTTGAAGAACTGCAGGTTTCATTTTGGCCTCTTAGAACGTGTTTCCTTTCAGGGAGGTCTCTGTGTTGCTCTGTGGGTGAACAAACACACGCGTGTCATTGTTACACTCACGTGAATGCTGACCTTGGTGGAACGCCTATGAAGAATGGAATTTCCAAACTCTCGGAAACTCCCCGGGGAGTACTCGTGGAATTCTGGAGTCTTGCAAAAATGGCACAAGTAATTTACAGGTCACTCAAGAAAGAGACCTGAGTAAAAACCAAACCTATGAGGCTGACCTAAGCTTCAGGGCTGTGGGGTCAGGGAGGTGTATGAATCCTGGTGATTCACTCTCAGGCAGTGGGGATGCACTGACTGTTCATGCACAGGATCCAAGGGCCAGACAGAGCCTCCAAGCGGTGTCTGAGTATTCTCTCATCTCCAGAAAACCCTCTTTCAAGGAAATGACAATCTACCCTACCTGAAAAAGCATCTGTGATCCTCTCTGGCAGAGGATCAGTGGCACCTCCAGCTAAAGAGGGTCTTTGTGTGGGTGAAGAATACACACTCCATTTGTGTGGCCTGAGCTCAAGCTGGAGTGCCTAGCGTGGGCCAAGTTCTGGCCCCACTAGATCTCCTGACTGGGTCCCTTGAACAGTGAATAACCTGCACAACCCTACGTGGCTGCCCTGCACAGAATACCCTTTACCTGGAGATCTGTGGCATCAGACTGACAGCTCACAGCCTGGCTCTGATACTCGCTAATTGCCATCTTGGGAAAGTCACCCACCTCGCCTTGAGTAAGAATGCCTCAGTTCTCTCCTGCGTAACATGGGGGTAGTAAGCCCACTTCACAAAACAGATGTGAGGATTCAATCAGTTATTATATGGAAAGTGTGCATCTGGCACAGAGTAAAAGCTTGATAAATGTTATTATGCTTAACTCATCTAAGCAAGAGATGGGAATGATTGGTAAGGTCTCCCCCCCGCTAAATTAAGAGGACAAAATGTCTCCCTTAAAGTTCATTCCCACTCGTCCTTGATGGATGTTAAGAGGTGTCCTGGAATGGAGATAAGGAGTCTTGAGTTCAGATGTCATATGACTGTCTCTAAGTTGGAAACAGTCCAAAGCCTCCCTGCAAGCTCAGGTTCTCATGGACAGAATCAGCAAAGGTCGGGGGAGGTTCTCTGACAGGCTCACAACAATTGTTCTTTTAGTCTAAGATTCCAGGACTGTTAAGACTGTGAGTGAGCGACTTCGTGGCCTTTCTTCCCCACTGGGGTCTTATAGCCCAGTGCTTCAAATACGCAAAATGCTAGGAGATTCATGCATGACTCAATATTCAATTACTTTCTTTTCAGCTCTTACCTTCAACGTAGGTGGGAAATGAAGCCAAGCTTTTTCTTGACTGTAATCAAGACAAAGAGGTTTCAAAAAGGGCAAAGCGTGATGAAAAATGCATTAACACAACTTTATTCATGCGACATGAAAAATAGATTGCCAATGACAGATATTAACCAGGTGTCAAACATTTTTGGATACGGAAAGAAAAGCGTGAATAAACACACACATTTCTTATTAAAGGTTACCCAAAGCCCAGAACATCTATTCATATTTTAGATAATCTGAAAATGTTACATTCCACAGAGAGAGGTCCATCAGTTTAAAAAAATATCCCACAGACCAAAGTCCCTAATCAATTCAAAGCAATACAAAGGGCTGAATTTGTGTTCTTAAGAATCTGGGTTTCTAAGTGCAAAACTGCTGGATTAGTAAAAGCACCAAAAATGTGATTATATGTTGAAATCTGGATTCCCTGGGAGAATTTTATTACCCTTGAGGTCTCTGCTTCAGTAATCTCTCACTGTGCTAAAAATGTTTGCTAGTTTCCTCTCCTCCTTTCACCTCTTACTGGTTTAAAAATTCCATTATGTAAGTAATTATTATGTGTTACCTTAAAATAAGAACACAGTAAACACAGGAGTGAACTGAAAACCCTGGAATTTCTTATACTAAGACCCCATAGCAAGGGTCAGTCTTCCAACAGCACGCTTGGACGTGGGCATGATCGGCTAGAAGACTTCTAGAACCTGACCAGATGGCGGTTTAAATGCTCTCAGAGAAGCAACACTTACCATTTGGTTCCTTCCGTAAGTGAATGGCCTAGAAATAACTCTGAGTGGCATAAGAGTAGGAAATTCATTCCTGCTTTATCCAGTCAGATTCTGAGGCAGATACATCTGGGGCAGGGTGATGTGAGCATTGCAGGGGAGTGAAGAGCCAATGCCAAAGACAAGAGTCCTTCAACTGAGCAAAAAGGAAGGTTTGCATGACCAAAGGTTATCCTCAGAAAGCCTAAAGATCTTCATTGCTAAGAATCTAGCAAGTACTGGGATGCCTGGGTGGCTCAGTCAGTTAAAGCATCTGCCTTCGGCTCGGGTCACAACCCCGGGGTTCTGAGATCGAGCCCCGCGTCAGTATCCCTGCTCAGCGGGAAGAAGCCTGCTTCTCCCTCTGCCTCTGCCTCTCCCCCCTGCTTGTTCTCTCTCTAATAAATGAATAAATAAATCTTAAAAAGAACCTAGCAAGTATTAAGTTGTCATTTAAATATGTACCTTTTCGGAAAAGGGTATCTAGTACAGCACAGCTGCTCAACAGGTTGACCTAGGCTGATGGTAAACTCGGGTGCCTGGCGGCTGGGAGAGTCAGGGCCTAAAAGAGGGCTGGGACATCACGGGAACAGCTCCATCTCATAGTACTGTGTACAGTGCTCGCCACGTGGAAGATGGAGACTGCAAAGGGAGGACTAACCACTTACTCCTTGCACAACATTCTAAAAATAGTAGTTAACCGTTACATATAAAAGAAACCGGAGGCAAAGACACCCGGGTTTAAGAATCTCACTCAATTCAGGACAATGACAAGAATTTAACGCTAAACACACAATATACCACGCAAGGCAACCTGGCAGGAAACCTGCCAGAATGTGCTCACTGGGATGCAATTGTTCGTTACACCAAGGATGGTGGGTTTCTCATTTCAGAAAGGATTACCTTTAAGGACACAAAAGACACAAGTCCACTGGAATGAAAGATCACTGGCTGCTAATGCATTTACAGAAAAATGCACACCAAGCTAAGCTATGTGCACAGGAGGAAAGAGAACTCCAATTTCCCCAGCACTTTACTTTAGTTTTACTTTCCAAGTGAGAAGACAGGCCCAGGTGAGTGCCAATAACCGGGTCTAATTCTGGTTAAAAACAAACAAAAATCCGTAACTTCATGGTATGCAGATGGAAGCTAGTTTCTTCATAAAGACCAAAGACTTTAAAATTATTATTCCCCACACCCCCCTTGGCCTTGTCCTCAGCAGCGAGGGGTCTGGGGTAGAGAGGGTTTATTTTGTTTTGTCAAAATGGGTTAGCCTCCAGGTAAATCCAAGAAGCCAATTCAGATTTTCTTGGGCTATTAGGACACTTTTCAAGGCTAATCTCAAGGACAGTCCCCAGGTTACAGCAGAAGCTACAAAAGAATTACTTTAGTCTATAATTCTAAAAGATGCCATTTTATTTAGAGCCACAACAGAGGGCATTTGGTACATTTACTTATTCTCTATTCATAAACTCATGACTGGCTTTCTTTAGTCTCTGGGGTAGTAAGTTTTTTAAAAAAAAGAGTTTTGAGAAATGAAAGAATCTCTAATTATTGCACACAAAGAGGATTTTCATCATTATTTCTAAGGGTATGCAGAAACATGTGCCAAGTCCTGCAGGAACTGAGAAACTAACAAATTTGCCTTATTATATCTGATGGATAATCAAATGCTGAATATTCGGATGTCTGATTAGCCCTTTGTTTTCTCACATGTGGACAGAGATGAACATCAGTTGATCCTTAACATGCAAGAATTAATAAAGCCACATTCAAGAAGATGAAAGGCCAAAATCTTTGGGATTTTCCAGGAGGTCAGACTGAACCATGTGCAGAGCCTGGAGGTCTGACAATTGGAATAAAGACATACAAGTTAGCTTGTCTATGCAGCATGTGTGTGGCCTGGGGCACTTTTCACCTGGTGTTAAGAGCCTGGGCCCACAGGAGCTCTGGTTTCAAATCCTGGCCTGACCACTTGTGGGCCCTAGACCTCAAGTAAGTTACTGAACCTCTAAGCTTCCTCAACAAAAATGAGGACAGTGATTCCTACCTTATAGAATTATTTTAAGGATTAAATGAGATACTACCTGTGATTTGCTTGGACTGATGCCTGAATGCTGTAAATGCTCAAGAAACGGTAACTCTCATTGCTGTTATTATCACTGTGGCCTTGATTCCTTTCTTCTTGCTTTTGGTTCTCACTGATCCCTGTACTATGAATAAAGTATAAGGCAAAGCTACGGGATCTGGGGTCAGCAGAAACAGTGACCTTGCTACTCCTGTTCCCGTGACCTAGGGTCTGAGGACAAGACTAGAGAAGGACAAAGTATATGTCAAATTTAAATTTAATGTTGGTGTCATCTCAGAGAAGGTCTCCTTATGTTTGTTTGCTTTAATATAAACAGATTATTAAAGAATATACTTCTCCCTGCATGAATAGTTAATGGCGAATGGATGTATATTCAATGATAGTTTAAGGGTATATTTTAATGAAGACACCCTTTAGAAGTGATCTGCCACTCAGGGTAAAATGGAGATTGCTTTCTTCAGCTGCATTTAAAACAGTATTATTAACAAAGAGAAGGAAAATGAGACAATCATTCATTATATGGTGTACCTCTTTCGTGCATACCCTCAGCATTGATTAGGCAACATCTATATTTAAAGTGAGCTCAACCCACATGTAGACTCTGGTGCAGGCCAATATTCGCCTGACCCTGGTTCAATACTAGGTGGAGGTGGCATTTGCTGGGGGTTAACAGTGTGGGAAAACGCAGTGGCTTCCCTGTGGGAAGAGCACCTGTCCTTTCACAGCCCCAGAAACCTCAGCGGGAGCAGGCAGCATTTTCTCACTTAAATATTCTCTGCTGGGGCTCAGGCTGGCCTCCATCTGTAGGGTGACCACCAACAGGGGCACTTTCGGGCTGCACTGTCTAGTCGTCTTTAGCCACACGTGACTTTTTAATTAAAATGGAACAAAACAGAATAAAGCAGAATTCAGTTCCTCGGTCCCACGAACCACATCTCAAGAGCTTGCTAGGCATCTGTGGCTGGGGCCCGCCTGTATACAGGACAGTGCACGTTTTCATCACTGCACACGTTCTCTGGGACAGCACTGCTTTAGAAAGGGGTGTTCCCTGGGTCCACAGCTTGCACAACAGGTGTGAACTGGAACCACCCCAGGTAAACCAGGACAAGTGGTCACCTTGGTGTCGTGAAAGATATTTCACTTGGGCCTGAAATAAATGGGTATTTAATAAACCAGCCCACTTCCCAAACCACACGGCAACCTCATCTCAGAGGCTCGTAATGCCGTGAGGAAGGATGCTGCTACAGAGAGTTCTTAAGATTCCATTTCCAGCACGGTCCAGGAGAACTTTCTGGAATGACTGGAAATGCTCTGTCATCTCCTCCGTCCAATACAACAACCACTAGTTCCATGTGGCTACTGAGCACCTGAACTGTGGCTACTGTGCCTGTGGAGGTGAATTTCCATTTTATTTATTAATCAAATAAATGGTAGCCAGTGGCTATCAGACTGGATGGTGCCACTTCCGTCACCGAATTCCATGCTCGAGAAGAGAGATTAGAATTTCTCTCCCTGGTGGTGGTGTGGGTGGTTGGGGGGCGGGGGAAGTTCGGGGGATTTGTGTGGGAAGCTGAAGAAAACTCACACCAGAAGAAGAATAAAACAACAAAGGCTGGTGTCTTCTGAAACAAAATGGCACCCTACCTCTTTATTGGAGGAGGCCTCCATGGGGTCGCTGGGGTGGAGGGCTGTGCTCGAGGACTCTGCACCCAGCGGGGAGGAACTGCCAGGAGACGGAGACTGGAACACAGCAAGGGAAGGACACAGTGAGTATCTGAGGGCACACAAACACCTGCGGGGGCAGGGGTAGGGTTGAGAGGAGAAAGCCCAACACAATGGAACAAACACTTCTATGGTGAGAAAACTTCCTTGCAAGAGGAGCCACCAACAGTCCCTAAAAGGCCCGGGGTTTTCGAGCTTTCTTTTAAATTCCTGCCATGTTTTCAAAGGAATCCTTGAAAGCTCAGCCATTCTTTTCCTCCTTTGGCCAAGTGTTTAAACATAGCAAAAGCTGAGTATATTGAACTTAAAGCCCTGAATGAATAAAGCTAACGAGGAGACACAAAGGTCTGTGGTTTTCAAAATTCTTCTCACAAACGCTTCGGGTACTCATTGTCTTAATAAAATCACTTGCCCAAGATTACCTGAATGGAAATGTAAAAATGAAAACAGGTATTTTCAAAGAGGCAGCTGGGACTGATGACCAGAAACCACACCACCCATATTTCTCTAGCCCAGATTTCAAATATTTTTTTCTCATTTAATCCACAGGTATTGAAAATTCAGAGAAATGTCAGCATCCAAACAATGGATGCTTGATCTTGGCCGCTGTTGAAACAGTTCTAAAGTCCTTTATTAAATGCTCTGTTTGAAAATAAGGGTTAGAAGAACAGATGCGGGGTGTATGGTCCACAGCAGGTGTGTTACCGCTTCTGGTGGTGGCCCAGGCAGGCCTCGCTGAAAGAGAACCCCCCAGGCCGGGGCCCGACACGGCACAGGCTCCATAAATACCCGCCGAATGAGTGGCCAAAGAAGTGAGCAGGCACAAGGATTGGATGGGGGTGGGTGCTGGAAACCCTCCCCAGCTGATACCCAAACATTTCTGCATGCTCCTTCAATCCTGAAAGATGAAGGGCATCTTCAGGCGAGCCACAGGGATGCTTAATTCTGTAGCGATGGTCCTCTGAGAGCAAGCACGCTCAGCTTCGCCGTTTGTTGGTGAAATCTGACGGAAGGCCTAAAACAGAACCGTGTAAGCATCTGTTCTCAGAGCAAGTGTGCCGATGTGGGGGGGGGGGGGCTCCGTCCTGGGCAAAGGAAGCAGAGTAACACCCATGAGCTGAATCTGTTTCTGATCTCTGGTCCCTGTGGGGAGGCCGAGGTAGAAACTTCAGCCGAGTACCTCTACGTGGAAAGGTAGAATGTTCCACAAACTCAGTCGTGCTGAGTGGGGGAGGGGGCATGTTCATATACAGTGGGGCTTCAGTGAGCATTATGTGAAATCATAAAAAAAAAAAAAAAAAACTTTTTCAGGAAGTCTGAATTACAGGAAAACACAGGGGGCACCAAGTGAACTGAACGATGATGTGCTGAAATGCAGTTTTATTCACACTGAGACACTGCATGGTCCCGATCTATTCCCGTCAGGCCTGGATTTGTTTTCTGTGAGCCCATATATCTGATTCTGGGCAGGGAGATGAGGACCCATGAGCCTCTTAATCATTCACATGCAGAAATCGGCCCCTCCAGCATAAAGCCAAGAAGATGGGCAGAGGGTAAGAGCAGACCTAAAGGACCCCAAGCCCCACAGCCCCTGGATGCGACAAAACAGCGCTGCATGCCTTAAAAAAAAAAAAAAAAAAACTCACACAATTTTTCATTTGGCACCCAAGAGAGTTGAGGGTTACTGGCTGAGTTAGCTCTGTTTGGACTACTCAAAATTAATGTAGTGAAGTCCCATGAGATTTCAGTGCCTTTAAATTTTCCCAGTTTTTCAAATTTGAAGGGCTTCCTTAGATATTTACATCTCTCCATTTTCCCCCAAATCATTTTCTCTATTGCAAAGATTTTAAGGGTCTGGTCCCTGGGAAGCTAGGATAGCTGGTTTTTCTTTAATTGCTCAGTTTGAGGGCTGTGTAACACCTTCATTAAAAAAAAAGAAAAAAGAAAAAAAAAACCTTCAAAAGTGCCCAGCAGTTCCTATTTCCTTTTCTAACCATTTGCTATCGCAAATCTAAATTCTAAAAATGGATTCTCTGCAACCCTGCAAACGTCGGATCATCTCAGGATGCTGTGGGAAGGCCGGTTATCTAGACAGCAGGCTGTGATGTGGAAGGGGCAGGTCAGACTCCACAGTGAGGCTAAGTGACCTGGTACCTGCCACGGGGCTCTGGATAGGAGAGACCCGCAGTGCCCTTCATCAGGGACCACGTCCCCTCAATGCTCCATGCTCTAGCCCTCTGCATGCAAATGAGCTCATTCACTTTTCCTGCCACTTGCATGTGCAGTTAATGACCTCCATCTAGAGAGTTGTCCCGCATTCTTGCCCACCTTCAGCGCTGAATTTGAAGGCATGTGTCTTGCTGAAGCTTTCTCGGACTCTATTCCCGGTACTGTTCTCCCTGATGGCTTGTGTCAGGTCTTGTAATTATCTGTTTATGTGTGGGTCTCCCCTCCCCCTCGAACTCTTTGGCAGGGATCTTGTCTTAATCATTTTGGAATCCCAAGTGCCTGGCCGTGGGTCTTAAACAGCAGGTGCTCAGTAAGCCTTTGCTGAATAAATGATTTCAGGGTCGTTTCTAGCTCTACCATGTTTTCCAACCTGCAGAAAGCAGATCTTTCATTACTGTTTAGTGGTCAATGGGAAGCCCTTTTCGGATAGCATTCTCATGCTCTTACGTGTGGAATGTTAAATCTGCATTTTGAATTAGAAAAAAAGGGTCTTTGCCTGTGCAGATCTGACCTGAGCTCCAGCCAAGCTCTTCTGAAGCTGAAAGCTGTCTCCACAAGGACACAGGACCCCACCTGTGGAAGCCTAGCACTCCACACACCACTGCTGACAAAGCCAAGGTGGACAAACGCCTTCAGAGCAGACACGGCCCCCATGGCGCTTAAACAAAGGTATGAGTATTGATTCATCTCCAACGTCTGCTTTCAAAGTGCTCTGCCCCTCTCCTCCAGCTTCCGCATTGCCATACTCCCAAAAGTGGAGAGAAAACCAGAAATTAGAGAACACTTCCTACTTTCAAAGAATGTACTAAAGGCAAAGTTTAACCGATAAAATATGATACACAAAGTAAGTTATTACCACGTGTTTCTCTCGCTGAAGTCTCATGCCTGCTGGGTCACTGGTGCATACTCAATTTCAAGCAAATGAAACCAAGGATGGGAAGCACATGTGGGAAATTCACTGCGTACCACACAGGGCATCTAGTGGGAGGCATCTATAATGTCCAAGGACGACGCGGTAACTCCCTGTCCCGGTTAATTACAGGAGGTCTTCTTAAGCTGCTTGTCCTCTGCAGACTGTGTTCTAGCAGATTCTCCACAACTACAGTCTAAATTTTACTGCCAGAGCAGTAAAGACTCAGCCATAAGACTTCAGTTCTTTAACACCAAGACAGGAGACAGATAGTTCCGTTGTTAGGCCGGCGATGGCCTCAGGATGCAGGAGCAACCAGAGGGAAAGCCGATCACTCATTTTATTTCCAATCGAACCTGTCCTAGGGGCCAAGGCTGTACTGCGGGTGGTAGAGATGAAGCAAACAGCTCAAGGAACTTTTAGGCCGTCCTTGCTGGGAAGAGAAGTCGTGTGCAAATAACGATTATTCATTTATTCCTGCAACAGACATGTCCGTGCCTACCTCTGCTCTGGATATTGGGCCAAGAAACGAGGAGGAAAGAGATGTGGTCCCATCCTGCATGCCTTTCCAGGTGATGGGAGTAGGCAGGGCTGGGACGCAGGGCTGTGGCAGAACACCGTCCTTTTCAGAAAGGCCTCAGGACTGAGTGCAAAGCAGTGACCGGGAGAGATGTACGGAGATCTTGAAAGACTTCTGGAGAAACTTTATAGTCAAAAGACACAAGAACGTGAGCTCCACCAGGACTGTGCATTCATTTATTTCCCATGGAAATTCGGACAGCATCTGAGGAGGCCCAGATCCCTGCCTGCGCCCAAGGAGCCCCTGGCTTACTTAGCAGAGGAGACAGACGTACAAATACACACAGGGTGGCCTCTGAATGCAGTGGCCGCTGAGTCCTTGAGAACAGAAGTCATAATGACACAAAGCAGTCCCTACTGAGCTGACCACTCGCGATGCTGACGTCCACCTTAACAGTCCTCCGCCTCCAACCCTAGCATCTCCCTGGCCCACGTCTCTGTCAGCTGGTCTCTGTTGATGGTTGGGACCATCTGGTGTCGCCAGGCCCAGAGCAAAACAAAACAGAAAACCAGAAACCTGCAAAGGTGCTGCAGAGTACAAGTGCAAATATTGCAAAAATAGAGAGAAGGCAGGATTTTAGCAAGTTGAAGTAGGCACAGTTGGAGGACTGCTCACACCAGCCATGGGTAAAAGAGTTGGTGGAGTTAACACCAGTTCACAATTAAGCAGACGATAAAACAGAAAGGATGATGATACTAGAGGTGCTTCGAAAGAGCGTGATTGGAATACCAAATCAGTTAACAGAGGCCCTTGCGAAAACTGCATCAGCCCTCACATGTTTTTGGTGAAATTGTCCTCTTTCTAATTGGAAGGATCCCTTCTGGTCATGCTGCAGAAGTCACAATGTGAATTGAAGAAGGCTATTCTAGTGTGTGACTCGATGGTCCTTTCTGAAAAAAATTAAAACTCCTCAAATCAATACTTTTTTTGTTTTAAGGATTCACATAAAGGGCACCTGGGTGGCTCAGTCGTTAAGCATCTGCCTTCGGCTCAGGTCATGGTCCCGGGGTCCTGGGATCGAGCCCCATGTCGGGCTCCCTGCTCAGTGGGGAGCCTGCTTCTCCCTCTGCCTCTCTCGCTCTCTCAAATAAAATCTTTAAAAAAAAAGAATTCACATGTAGGTGAAATTATAACCTACATGTTACTCGTCAATAAATAAAACTACTAAGCTTATGTTTATAATTTTTAATATTGTTTTGCAATCTAAGGTGCTAACCACATCCTCCCCTTCCTCCCCATACTTTGAAAGTTTGGTCCTCGTTTTAGGTGGATTAATTTTAGAAGGTAAACTTCTGCAGG